GGTCTCAACTGGACTGGTGTTGGGATAAGGCTTGGAGGACAGGGTCTGGGTAGCAGTGGTGGCAGTCCGTGGTGTGGGGGGTGAGCCTGCAGTGGTGGTCGGTCCCTGGCAGTGGCTCACACTGCAGCACAGCACCCGGATCATGTAGTTGTAGCACATGTCAGATTTGCCTTTCTGGTCCCTGTTGCGGCACACCAGACCAAAGTTGACATCACATGTCACTTCCTGACCCAACATGTCCAAACTCATGTCAGGGTAGTTCTGGGCCTCACACTGGATGCCCTGAGGCTGTTCACAGACATCTGCCCCAGTGGCCCTGATCTTCTCATATGTCTCAATGTCTCCTCCCTCGCTGTCAGACGTGGGGTAATCTGTGTCAAGCCATCCTGTCCACTGACATTGGGGTTGGCAGGTGGTAGAGGTCACAAGCGTGCTGACCGTGTGTGTGATCGTGCTGGCTCTTGAAGTGGACTCTGTTTGTGAGGTGAATACTGATGTTGGGCTGGATGTGACAGGGCTGGTGGCTGAGTTTGTGGACCCAATGTGATGTGAAGTGGCCCTCCTTTTTGAGGTGAATGTCACTGTTTGTCTTGAGCTGTGAATTGTATCCAGGGATGTCTCTTTCCCTTCGGTGGTCCACGAGGGTGTGGACTTTGACACTGAGGATGCTGTCTGAGTACTGTGAGTGGGCCAAGAGGACTCTCTGCTGATCTCAGGTTGGGAGTGAGTGGTGCTTGTGCCTGAGGTCAAGGTAGAACTACAGGGCACGTAATCACAGCACAGAACCCTCAGCTCGTAATTGTAGCAGAGTGGTGGACTCTGCTCACTGTTAAGACATTTCAGCCCCCAGGATGGATCACAGTTCACCTTCTGACCCAGCTTCTGTAAGTCCATGCTGGGGAACTTCTCAGCACGGCACTGGATGGCAGCAGGGCTTTGACACACCTGGTACCCTTTCTGCCTCAGGTTCTCAAATGTTTCAAAGTCCCCACCTGTCATGCCAGGCTCTGGATGGCTCTCATCATACCAAATGGACCAGCGGCAGACCTCGCGGACACACACCGTGGACACAGTGGATACAGTGGGAGCTGAGCCTGTGTGAAAGCGATAGAAGCCCTTCTCAGCCCCTCTCGTCTCAGGGCAAGGGAACAGATGACTTTTCCCTTAGCACAAGTTAGGGCTAATGCTGGCTTGTTCCAGGACCCAGCTAACAGTCTTGGGAGAGCTCATTAATTCAAGGCTCCAAGGGCAAATGGAGCCTAGGGATTTCTGTTTCCCTGATGGCAGCTCCAGCTGTTGTGCCAAGGCTTCCAGGGAAATCATAGAGGGGTGAGGACCATGGACACCAGGCAGAGCCTGGGCAACTGAACAATGGATCAGGACCCAAGATATCTCTGTAACTGGCGTTCCCTGCATTGGCCACTTGTCATCTTCCCTTGTGTCAATGTGGCCAAGCCTTTCCCTGGGTTGACATAATAGTTTCATGTTCAGGAGCTTCCAGTGAACCTGGTATGGTCTCACCTGTTGTGGTATGGGGTGCCAAGGTAGTGGTGAATATGAACGGTGTGGTGGACGAGACTGCAGGGCACTCTTCTGTTGTGCGTATGATTGTCCCATTGTCTTTGCAGATGGCCACTAAGCATGCACCAAGGCCATCCGTGGTGTTGTAGACAACATCATCGTAGTGGTAGGTACGGCCCTCATAGGTGCATATGCAGGCTGGGGGTTAGATGTATTGGCTCAGCTTTATCAGCCTTCAGCCTTCTTCCAACCCCAAACCCACAGGCTTTGCTTACCTGTAAGGTTGTGAACACACTTGAGGCCATCAGGGGTGCAGAGACTGGAGGGAAGACAGGGGCTCTGAGGACCCACGAGCATCCCCTAGCTGATGCATGCTTTTGCCCTCCCCTGCCCTTTCCCAACACTCTGGGTCCCCTCTCACCAGCTCTGGCAGTTCTCTGCTGTAGGGACCTGTGTGCCAATATCATGGTAGTTTCCATCATCATCATAGCATCCACACTGGGCCACACACTTCATCTGGTCCTCATTGAAGAAGGGCTGACTGGGTGGGCATTGTGGGTAGCAGCCTAGAGCAGGCAGGAATCACATTGACTTTCTATCCTCTTGGGCATGTATCCAGCTGCCCAGTTCCCAATCAGTGGCAGAGAACCCAGTGGTCTACCCTAGTACCATGCATGGAGTTAGAGGCCTGAAGGCCTCCACCAGCACATTCTGCCCTTACCTTCCAGGCCTGGCAGGTCAACAAGGCAGTGTCCAGCAGGGTTTCGACAGGTCTTCAGACAGGGGGCTCCACAGGGCTGGTAATGCCATTCACATTCCCCGTGAGGGTTATAGTAGTCACAGAAAAGAGCTGAGCACAGAAGGGAGAGTCTACTATACCTCATGACTACACCCAGACATACAGGCCTTGGGCTAGGCAGATGGCCTCCTTGGGTCCATTCCCTAACCCAGATCCTGGGGCCCCCCACCTCAGCTACTTCATATCACGTGTCAAAGAACCATGTGTGTATATAGATCTGTGCACAATATATAAATACATACATGTACACATACACACATCATAGTGGCCAGAATCTAAACCAGGAGGGAAGTACAGAGCTGCCTCCCACCTCATTCACAGTCCCACCCTTCAGTACCACGGACAGTGCCCTACTCACGGCAGATGTCTGGTGTCCTCCAGGACAAGCACACGCCCACATCACGGCAGGCCTGGGCATAGGCAGCCACAGCAGTGCAGAAACACTCGCAGTCACCCCCTGAGTCACAGGCACACACATCATGCACACAAGCTTCGTAATACTTGGTAGAGTCAACCTGGAATGGAGGAGCCAGGGTGCCACTCAGGGAGGACAGCGAAGTCTGCCCAAGAGACAGATGAATGTGGGGGAGGATACGGAGCTAGTTGTAGTCCAGCCCCCGCACTATGGGAATGGTGATTTGGTACTGTGGCTCCTATCAGATTGTCCCAAGTGGGAACTGTCCAACACTACCTTTCCAACTCACTGTGCACCCACAGACTTGTACACCCACATATCCATAACCTGCCACTTGTGCGCCCATACACGTGTGCAGCGATTCACCTGCCTGAATATATACCTGCGTACCTGTCCACATGTGTACCTATCTATTTGGCCATCTGTGCACCTGCTCAGCTGGAAAACCATGTACCTGCCCACCTGTGCACATACCTGATTGTACACCGGTGTACCTGCCTACCTGTGACCCTTCGCATTTGTCTGCGTGTGTACCTGCCTACCTAACTACTTGCATATCTGCCTGTCTATTGACCTGTGCACTTCCCCTCCTGTCCATATGTGCACCCATCCACTTGCACAGCTGCTCACCTACATACCACTGTGTACCTGCCTACCTACACCTGCACAGACTCTACCTGCACACTCACCCATACCACTGCATGCCTAGACATCTGCCCCACTTTCCCACTTGCACCTGCCCACCTGTACACCCTCACTAGTAGTCTTTGGATCCTTTGACTTGGGTCTGGTCGCCCAGTTTACAGTCTTGCACTGTGGTCCTACTTCTGTCCTTCTACTCCTGCCTCAGTGCACTGGCCCCATCCTATAACTTCCTATAGGATGCCTTCCTATAGCTGACTTGTCCCCTGAACTGCTGTTCCCATGATTCCTAGTGGCTTTCTACTTGGCTTTTTGGTGTTAGCTTCTCCATGACCACCCTGCTACCTCACTCCAGTGGAGGATCACTAGGAGACAGCAAACTTTGTCTCTTATCCATTTGAGATAGCTGGTACCTGGAACCCACCTGAACTTCCATACCCCTGAGAACATGCCCCAAGGAAATAGTGATGGAGACTCATCTGGCATTGCTTAACTTCCAGACTGGCGCAGTTGTGGGACATGTGGTTAGCACACCCCAGCATGGGAGAGTTGTCTAATCTGTGGAGCAGAGGGCCCACTACTCACACTGTGCCAGCTGGAAGACCCCAGAGTAAATTCAAGTTCTTGCTTTTGCCACTAAAGGCACATCCAAGTCAGCATTGTCAGGCCATGGTGAATCAAGCCATGGAGCAGGGTAGCCAGAAAGACTGCTGGCCACCTGCCCACAAGGTTAGCTGTGGAGACCTGGGGTGCTCGGTACAAATGAGTCGCACTGGGTACCCATGACCCTGCATGAGCACGTTCTGGTCATGGCCAGAAAGCCTGTGTTGTGAAACCACTTTCCTAGCTGAACACTTGAGTCTTGGCTTTAGTAACGGGGAATAGACTTTGGAACTCCCACTTCCTCTGGGAGAGTTCTGATGGTGTTCCTGATGCACACTGAACAGGTTTGGGGATCATCCAGGAGGATGAAGAAGGTGCCTCACTGAGAGCCATGATTGGAGACTGTAGTCAAGGACTGGTCCCAGAATAGTGGAGGGGACTCCATGCTGGGGATCTATGCATAAATTCCCACCTATTTCGTGGGAGATTTAGACCTAGAACTTGAAAACCCAGGGTCATGGACCATATGCTCTGACTGGGTCAAGGTGGTCCTCAGAGGCCCTCTGGGTGTCTAGTCCAATGAGACTCAATTCCTCCCAGGAAGAAGCAGGCAACTGCAAGCCCTAGGAACCAAGGCCAGGTCCTACCTGGGAGTGGCAGGCGGCAAAGGTCGCACTGTTGATGATGCTGCACTTTTTCTGGGCCCAGGACTTGCGGTAAGGGTTGGCAGTGCAGGGGTCCTTGGGAACTGGGGCATCTGGGCAGGATGGAGAGAACTTCCAGCTGTTTCCAAACTCCAGCACATCGCCCACCACAGACTGGCTGCGCGTGGTGAAGTCATTGATGGCGTTGTCGTCAAAATTCCCACACAGGCCACAGACCCTTCCCTGCAGACACACGAGCAGAGAGAATCTTGAGAAGGTTAGGGGAGCTGGCACAGAGCCTGGCTTGGGAGTAGAACACAGGGAGAACCCATTTCCCCTGGATTGTACCCTGCGAACTTGCAAATGGATGTGGGAAGTGGGTCCTGGGGCAGGTGGGTGAACTGAACTTACTCTCTTTAGAAGATTCTGTCTCTGCACAGGCCTGTGTGGGCTGGTTTATCAGTCATGATTCCAGCACACCCATTATGCATTGCGATTTTAACTTGTCCTTCTTGGAACCTGGTGTTGTGTGTGGTCTCGGTGATGAGGGCTTTCAATGTCAGCTGTCAGCCCTAGACCAATCTTAGCTGGGTCTAGAAGCAGGGTGCATGGTGGCCACACTTGCCTTGTAATGCTGCTGCAGTCGGACAAACACACTGGTCTTCCTGTCCCAGGACACGACTATCCCACTGCGGATCTCAGTGACCAGGAAAATGCCCATGTATCTGATCTTGTATGGAGGGTCCCCACTTGGCCCTCTCTCTACCACCTTGAAGTTACCCTCATGAAGAATCAGCTCATAGCTCTGTAGATGGAGAGATATAGGGCAACAGTGTCAGGGAATTGGGAGACCGGGAGCTTGCCTGCTGCCCTTGGAGGAGGACTCAACAGATGAAGACTCACTGAGGAGTAGGGAAACTCAGGCCGCACACTTATAGATCTCCAAAGGCTCACATGTGCAACGCTGCCTTATACCATCCCCCACCCACCTCAGAGCCAGCTGAGGAAATGCTTCATTGAGACCCAACTGTCTCAATTTTCTCAATTAGTGATCAGTGAAGGAGGGCCCAGTCAATGGTGGGTGGTGCCATCCCTGGGCTGGAGGTCCTGGATTCTATAAAAAGCAGGCTGAGCAAGCCAGGGGAAGCAAGCCAGTAAACAGCATCCTCCATGGCCTCTGTATCAGCTTCTGCCTCCAGGTTCCTGCCCTGCTTGAGTTCTTGTCCTGACTTCCTCCAATGATGGACTATGATCTGGAAGTGTAAGGTGAATAAACCCTTTCCTTCCCAACTTGCTTTTGGTCATGGTGTTTTATTGCGGCAACAGAAACCCTAACTAAGATACACCCCAAGCCAGCAGCTCTGCTTTCTACCTTGAATTCTGACTTCCTTTTGCCAGAAGTGGGGTACTGAGTATAATATCCCTCCCAAATATACACATGATTCTGAGGACTTTAAAATAACACTTTACTAGAAAAAGAGCCTTTGGAGGATCTTGAGATGGGTTTTATGAAATTACCTGGGTGTCCCCTAAGCCCAGTGACTGTCCTAACAATGACCAGAGACATATAGACACAGAGCAGAAGGTCATGAGTAGAAAGGCAGACTGGAGTGATGCCACAAACCAAGGACTGCTGGAACCTCTAGCCCAGAAAGGCAGGAACGCAGTCCTGCTTGCCTTGATCTAATCCTGGCTCCAGTTTGGAAGACGATAGTTTGCTATTATAAGTCCTGGGTTTGGGTCACTTGCTATCCTGTCCTTGAGAATAGCTGATGGCTGGACAACCAGAGGTAACACTGCAGAGGGAGGGACGCAGTCCCCGGTGGCTCTAAGTATACTATCACCTCCACAAAGATCTTGATGGCCTTGGAACATGTGGTTCCTGTGGTCCCACAAGGGACATTCTCAGTGACAATACGAAAGGTCCCATCAGTACTGGTGTTGCCTCTGCAGTAGTCCTGAGAAGGAAAAAGATGAGGCTCTGGTCACAGCTCAGAAATAAGTGGTGGGAAGGATAGAGAATGGTGACTCATTGGCAGGGGCCAGGGACCACACACCTGAGCCAAGGTATACTCGCAGCTGCCTTCAAAGATGTAGCGTTCACCATCAAAGGTAACAAAATGGCCATCCCCATAGGCCACACATGAACCCATACAAGGTTGGTTAGTGCACTCCCACCGGCGGTTCTTGCAGGTACTGTGAAAGTAGAAGTCATTACTGACAAGGGTATTGTCCCCTGAGATTGGCTGTCCCTGTCCTGTGCCAGCGTGCCACTTCACTTAGGGGATCAAGCTCAGATTACATCAAGCCTTGGTCTTGTATGGGTGTGTATATGGTCACCCCCACTGGAGAAATAGCCCTTCCTTCCCAGAATGGGGTCCTCTGAGTACCTTGGTTCCCAAGAAACATGCTGAGGCCCCTGAAATGCCAAGGCCGTCTCAGACCAGTGTCCCTGCAGATACCCTCTGAGGGTCCCGGAACTTCTGACATGCCAAGGACATCTCAGACCAGTGACCCTGCTGATACCCTGTGAGGGTCCCTGAACCTCTGATATGCCAAGGACATCTCAGACCAGTGACCCTGCTGATAACCTGTGAGGGTCCCTGAACCTCTGACATGCCAAGGACATCTCAGACCAGTGACCCTGCAGATACCCTCTGAGGGTCCTGGAACCTCTGACATGGCAAGGACATCTCAGACCAGTGACCCTGCAGATACCCTGTGAGGGTCCCTGAACCTACCAGTTATTGCAGTCTACCCGGATGCTCTCCCCAGGTCTATAGGTGGCCTCATTGTGTATGCAGGGGCAGTCCTCCTCTGCGATGCAGCCCCCATTCCCGTCTGCTACCAGCCCTGAGGGACACACACAGCCTGAGACGCAGTGTGTGCTGAACTGTGGACACAGGTAGCCTGGTCAGGGACTGAAACAACATCCTGTTCCCTCAGCCCTATTCAGGTGCCCAGGACAGCAAGCAAGGAGACGCTTGTCCTTTGAACGCCCAAGAGGAGGCCAAAACCCAAAACCACTGACTTTTCAGTGATATCCCCCCCCCACTCTTCCTGTAGCTTAGAATGGTGGATGAAGGTTGGTGTTGCACCAAGAGAACTCACACATTCCACATCCAGTGTGTGGCAGCTTCTGAGGCATTCAGACCCTTGGTCACCAACTGAGGCGTTGTTACAGTCCAGATATACCATAGGTGCCTGGCACTCTGGGGAGGACAAGCGTGTGAGAGAGGCCTGGAACAGGACATTCCTGGTCTCTGTGGTCTCCGGTCTCCTGACCCTGTCTTGCTGCTTGGACTGTAGAAAGTTTAGGTCTTGCGTGACTTTGTGCTCTGTCCCAAGCACCCAGTCTGTATGGACCTGCCCCAGAGGGTATATCCCACATCCCCAAGAGCCCTACAGCCACACTGCCGCAGAGCCCACAGGCTCTCTTCCCCTCGAGCATCTTGGCACAGCAACCATGGTGAAGTACAGGCTGGTCAGGGTGGAATGGTACCTGTGTTCTGCTGCATCAGGGCTCCAAGACAGGTCAGCTTCCCCTTTTCACATGAACTACAAAAGACAGTAGGACCCCTGCTCCAGGCCCAGTATCTCCCACATTCTACCCCAGTACTCTCCATACCCCACCAAGGTCTGGGCCTCTTTGCCTCCTCCCAACACCAAGAGGATGCCTGCTGTTAGGGGTCCTTGGGAAGACCCTGGACCCCATGTTCCCATACACTAAAGGTTTAGTTTCCAGCCTATGCTAATACTAGAAGGCCACACAAACTTCCGGGTATAGAAGGACCACTAGCAACCCCCCTAACACAGACCTGTGAGGAAAAAGGATGGGTAAGGATGGTCTTTCTTACCACACCACCCCATTGTCCATAACGAACTCTCTGGGGGCCACCACAGTTCCATGGAAGAAGCAGGGGCACTCCTCATCACGCACACAGTGACCCTTGTCATTCAGGAAAGTGCCTTCAGGGCAGGTGCAGCCATCCACAGGCACAAAGGAGATGCCACAGGTGACGTCAGCTTCACTCAGAGAGCGGCAGGTAGGCTCGCAAGTGCTCACTGCATAGGAGTAGCTCTTGGTTTTGGGACAGTTGTTCATGTACTTGACTATAGGAGGAAGAAATGGTACAGGGAGATCAATGGCTGTGGGAACTGACATGGCCCTTGTTCTTCCCTGACGTAGACTAGTGACACCATTGTTGACACAATAGGACGAAAGGTTCTTGCAGACATGGGACAGGATATGATAGCTACTGCTGTCCAGGGTCCCAAGTGCCCCTGTGCCAGAGTGACAGGATCCAGGTGCCTACCGTGGGGAGGCCTAACCTGTGCCAAGGAGCCTTGGTGGCCCACAGAACACTCACAGCAGACATTGTCCCTCCAGCCACTGAGCAGCACGCCCTTGGCGGCACAGGCGTGCACATAGGAGGACAGGGCGGCACACATGCAGTCCTCGCTGTCTTCACAGTTGCACGTGTCAAACATGCAGTTCTGGAAGATAAGACATCAGGAAATCAGGTACCTCTGTCTCCTAGGTTCCTTATTGCTCACTGGACTTTCCCATCAACATCCGTCAAACCCTGCTCAAGGCTGGACCTGTGGCTTCCTAGCGGGAGCCACCCCGTCAGAAACTTTGATGAGCAGGGTCTTGGAGGTGTGGCCTGGGATTCACATTAGGGACAGTGTCAGAAGCCACAGGGTAAAATGGCAGCCAGAATGGAGAGCAAACCAGGGTTCAGGAAGGCCTGAAGCCTAAGGCAGGGGCCCTGGGGAAGAATCTCCATAAGACAAGGGCATTGTTCTAACTGGGCTGCACATAGGGGGCTTGGATGGGATGGGCTCAGCGGGGTGTGTCAGCAAGGTGTCATGGAATTGGGTTACCTGGAGACACACCCTCGGGGATGGAATGATGTACTAAAGCTTTGGAGTGCTGTTTAAAGTGTGTCCCCTAAAAGGTACTCTGCAGTGCTCTTATCACGTCTGAATGGGGTCAACATAGAAAGAAGCCTTTATGGGGGAGCCTAGGGAGACAAGGCCGTGAAGTAGCTCGGTTCCAGCACCTGCTGTCCTTACAAGAGGGAGGTTGGGCATACACTAGGACCACTAAGGACCTTTCTGAGCTCCCAGGACCTTCTTTTTCAGCTTCTCTGTTGGTGAACCCTTTAACTGAGAAGTACACACCAGCGTGGGCAGTGGTGGGTGGACCTGGGAGTCCAGCCTCCCAGGACTCCTATACCTGCCCCACCCAGGTCCAGCAGACCGTGGTCTCACCGAGTAGAAGGGCACCGGGCTGACAGTGGCATGGCAGGCCGAGAAGACTCCTGAGCTTTCGGTGAGCATGGAACACCACTTCTGGGCATAGTTCTCTAGGGAAGGAAGAAATGTTGGCTGCCTCTCACCTGCTTCCTCTTCAACCCTAACGCCTCATGCCTTTCTGTCTATGTGGGAATTCTCTGAGCCCTTCCCCCAGGGGTTTTGTAGCCCCAGAGGTCAGGAAGGGCTGTTGGAATGGCCGAAGACTAGAGAGGGTGCTTACCCGTCTCCACGCTGTACGAACAGGGGTCCTCAAAGGTGTTCTTAGAATTGGGGCAGGAGGCTTGAGTCTTCCAGGTGTTGGAGAAGGCGGCTCCTGTGCCCTCCACTACCCCACTGAGGGCTGTGAAGTCATCAGCCTGGTTCTGGTTGAAGTTACCACACAGGCCTAGTGACCGGAGTCAGGAGGTCAGCAGGTTGTTCAACCTGGCCACTCTCCCCAGGGTTGTCGCCCCTCTAAGCACCATCAAAGGAGGACTGGGAAGAAAGACCCTCTCTAGTGCTTCATTCTACAACTGCCCACAGATGAGCCCCTAATAGCTAGCCCCCAGCGAATCTGCCCTCCCAGGCCACTCCACGGGTTACTGGGCAGATGTCAAGTGTGCTGGGTGGTTCAGGGGTCTCCACTGAGCTCTGGAGCCAGTGCTTCCCAATCCCCTCCACAGGGCATCCCACTTCACAGCCTAGAGTTAGGGTGGATCTCATCCCCACCAGTCTCCCCGCCACGGTCCCACCCTCAAACCCGCTGGTGCCTCACCACACATCTGGCCATGGTAGGAGGGGTCCAGCCTGACAAACACCTGCATGATGGGCACCAGCTGCACCTGCAGCTGCAGTCCCATGCCTGTCTGCACCACGATGAAGAAGGATGATGGGCTGAAGATGGTGACATTGGCTGTAAGGGGAGAGGGGTTAGACACGCTGGGAGTTGGCCCATCACACACGGCAGTGCTGGCTGACCCAGGAGGGGGGCACCAAAAAAATCCCATGCCCAAAGCTCCCGAATGTGCATGGTTATAAATGGCTGCCAGCTGCCCCGAGGGGGCATGGTTGCACTGCCTGATGTAGGATTCCCATTGAAGCAGGGATAGCAACTTGTCACCCCAGGGGAAACGCTAGAGCTGCCTGAGGCCACAAAGAGCTCACTGGGAGCTAGACTCTACTCAGTGCTGAAATATGATTGCACACTGAAAGTGCCAGCCTTGGCTTGCTGTCCCAGGGAGCCACACACCTGCTGACATGGGAAGCTGAGTAAAGATGGAGTTCAGGAACACAGCACCGTTGGCCTGGATCCGGATGACCTGGTCGCGTGTGGTGGACACAGTCAGTACCCACAGGGCCCAGCCAGCCACTTATAGGAAGAATTCTGGCAGAATCCTCCTCCCCAACCCAGTGACAGAGCTAGGATGGAAGCTCAGGCCCGCCCTAGCAGTAGGTTCTCTCCACAGGGGTGGTGGCTGTTCCTACCTGAGGACTTAGAGAGGGAGTAGCAACCTCTCTTTACTCTGGCCAGTCTCTACTCCCCATGCTTCCCTAATCTGTCACTTGCAGCCCATAATGTGGTGGTCATCAGAGTCCCAGTGCTCACCATGTCCCCGCTATTGAGGTTGAGGGTAACTGCTTTGAGGCAGTTCTCAGTATCCGTCAATCCACATTTTCGCAGATCGACCAGCACAGTGAAGCCGCTATCTGCACATTTCTGTCAAGAAACCCAAGATGTGGAGTTGGATGTGGAGTTCTCTTATGCATGACCTCTCAAGGCCTGGAGGGGTTCTGGAGGTATCCTCGGGTCCCTGGTTCACCATAGGGAGCTTGTTATGGGCCTGGGACTTCCCTGTCAGCATAGAGGTTCTCCATGACCTTCGCCCCTGCTGTGGACCCTCACAGGACCCTGTGGGCCAGGATTGCGGCCGTACCTTGGACAGAACATAGCTGCAGTCCCCATGCACATTGTAGAGTTTCTCATCATAGGTGAAGACATGGGACCCGCCTTGCACAGAGCAGGTGCCGGGGCACGGCAGGTCCTGGCACTGCCACAATCCCCCAGAGCAGGTGCTGTGGGGGAGTCCATTAGCAGAAGGGTTTACAGCGGTAAGAGACAAGCCTCACCCTGCACACCTCCACAAAGGTGGTTAAGCTTACCAGGAGCTGCAACTGGTGTTGAAAGACTCTCCAGGGGCATAAGTGTGGCCACCATGGGTGCAATGGCACTGCTCCAGGGGCAGGCAGCCCAAGTGTCTGATGTCATCCAGCACAGTGCCTGGAGGAAGGGACAGTGGTTACAGATGCTCCCGGTACAGGTAACATGGGGCAGCTTGCCTCCAAGACAATCCCAGTCCTAGGCAGCAGGAAGGGCCCCTCGTCTAGAATGCTGCCCCAGCCTGAACTATTGGTATAAGCTCCTCTGGGCCTTAGTTTCCCCACCTGAACTCAAGGACTAAAAGCACCTGTTTTCTGTACATAGATCATCAGATCTCATCCTTGTTAATAATCAGTGTCCATCCTGCCTTTAACCTTGGGATGCAACCCCTAGCCAGGCCTATTGCCATTAGGAGTGGAGAGGATCAGCTGAGGGGGAGACCATAACCCCAAAGGTAGCCATGGAGGGGCACAGGGCCTGCCTGGGGGACAGAAGCAGCCATCCATGCAGTGATCCTCGCAGAGTTGAGAGCGTTGGGGGTTGGAGCAGGTATCCACGCAGGGCGAGCTGCACTCCTGGTGTTCCATGTTGAAGGGGCATGTCCAGACTGTAACAGAGATAGCTCTTGACCTAGGAGAAGTGGGTCCTAACTGCTGCAGTCAGTGGGAGCCATGCCCACTCTCTGCTCCCATGTCCACTGAGGTCCCAGAGCACCATCTGCTAAGTAAAGCAGCAGGCTAGAGAGCAGGGACCCAACACTTCTCATACCTCCTTCTCTACCTATGGCCACTTGAGGCCACTGCTCTCCAGGAGGTCCTGCCTCAAGGTTCTGGAACCATATCTTGTTGCTGTGCTCAGGGACACAACTGAGTCCCCACTCTGAGACCAACAGCAGAACCCTCAGGTACAGCATCTTCCTCTCAACCTCTCCACTACCTCTCTTTCCCTGGCATTCACCCCTTCTGTGGCCCTTAAGTGATTCTCTTATCTTGACTTCCTAGTCATGGTCTAAGCTCAAGACCTCTAGTGAGGAACTCACTGCAGAGATCAGGACTCCTCCAGTTCTGCGGATGGCCTCCTGCATGGGCACACTGGCGGGAATATTCAGCAAAAGTGGCGCATGGGCATGTGGGGCAGCGGCACAGATCCTGGACACAGGCATCCAAGTACATGTTGACATCTACCAGGGCAATACACTCGGCAAAGGCAGGCCCAAGCAGGATGCGGCGACAGATGTCCTCCTGGGGAGTACAGAGAGGCTAAGCATCTTCTGACCCTCAAACAGGATTGCCATGACACTTGTAATAGGAACCCTGCCCTTCCTAGGCCATACAGGAAGCCCCTCTTCACCTGGAGGTTCCTTCCACCTATACATCCATTTGTCTGTCTGTCCATCCATCATCTATCCATCCATTCATTATCCACCCATCATCCATCTACCATCTGTCTGTCATTCATTAATCACTCAGCTACCCCTCCATCCACCAATCACCTACTTCATCCATCCATCCATCCATCCATCCACTCATCTATCACTCATCTACCCATCCATCAACCATCCACCCATTATCCATCCACCTTCCTTATACATTATGCTATCCAAATGTTGTGCTGTGCCTGGGTATAGAGCTCTGCTTGGCTCTGAGGGAGTGACCCAGGGCTCTCTGTTCCTCCCACCTCCTATTTCAAGGCTCCAAGACATGCTGACTTGTGACTTGTGCACCCAGGCGAGTGCAGAATGCACTCCAGTGTTGTGATTCAGAAGACAGAGAAATAAAGATAACGCCAACCCTCAGGTGGCCCCCATGGACTCAGTGCTGCTACTCAACCCCTTCCTACTCCAGTACCCCCACTCGGCCAGGATTTGACAACATTCTCATTCACTTCACAGTTTAGGTAGGAATCAGGCTTCAGGGTTTCTGGAGTCAGACCCTAAGGATGAGTCCTCCCTGCTCATAGGAGGGGTTCCTTGAGGGTCCACCTTGGACCTCTGTGTGGTGGTGGGTACACATCTCCACACACATCACTTACACACAGAGAACTTGTATGGTGAGTGGGTTGTGACTTCCATCAAAAATGTGATCCATTTGGTCCCACGGGGGAAAGCCAACTTGGCCCGCCTCCCTCAGGCCCCAGCAGCAATTTCCTGAGGGCTCAGAGGCCAGAGGCCATTCTCTGACTGTTCAGGAGCAGGAAAGCTCTCACTGTCTTGTCACCCAAAGATGTTCCACAGCCTTTGGCCAGGAAGTTCTCTGGTATTCTATCAGTTGATGCATGCCGCGCACTGTCCCCAGCCTTGGGAGCTGTGGTATGATCAAGGTGCTCACCCTATCTGTGCAATTGCTGACCGCTGAGGGCAGGGTGTCCTGGCACTGCTCAGTAGGACCATCCAGCTTCTGCAGGTTTCCAAACTGTATAGGGGTCAGCCTGGTGTCTGCAGGAGGGAGAACTCACAGTCAGGAGATAGACTTCCGGAGGTAGCTATCAGAGGACTCTATCTGGATCTCTCTCTCTCTCTCTTTCTCTCTCTCTCTCTCTCTCTCTCTCTCTCTCTCTCTCTCTCACACACACACACACACACACACACACACACACTTCCATCCTCAATGTCTCTGCAACACCCCCGTCCCTCCTGGACTTCCTTGATTCTCTGTCCCTTGGGACCACCTAGCCTGAAGACTCAATGGTACTCACTGTGGGCGTAGAACTCGTTGACAGCTGGGAGCCCGTTGAAGTCGCCGCACAGCCCACACGTCTGGTTAGTATATTTGGAGTCCAGCTCCAGCTGAGAGGGGGAGACAGAGCAACTCCAGCCTCAGGGCTTCTGCTTTGGCTCTAAGGCTTACCTGGTAGCTTCCCACCCCACTTGCCCAGGGGACCATAGGAGATATTCCCCCGATAATCTGTAGGGGCCCTATAATAGGTCCCTAGAGAAGCTGTGGGTGAACTGTGAGGTTATGGGGGAGACTGTAGGAAGCCAGGGGTGACTCTGAGAGTTTATGAAATCTGTGGGGAGCTTTGTGGGGTCTATGGAAACTGTGAGGGGTTATAGAGGAGAATGGGGGGGTGTGGGAAACGGGATATTCTGGGGATCTGTGGAACTAAGAGGGGATTATGTGAGGCTGTAAGGGCCTGTGTAAGACTTATATAGGGTTATTGGGAGGGCTGTAGGGAAATGTGGGTTAATGTCCTTACCAGAGCACTGTCTTCATTCCACAGGAAGGTGAGGACTAGCCGGATGCTGACCTTCACATACCCACTGGTCTTCTCCATCAGAAGACCTGCACGGCTGTAGGGCAGCCCCACCCTAGGCAGAAAGTTCTGGTCTTCCTTCAGTGTGGTATGAGCAGGGGCTGTCCTCCCCACTTGCTCTGCTCCTGACCCCTCCCCAGAGGACCAAGTGGGGACAGAGCAAGGTCTAAAGGCCTGGCTTGAACATGCTTCTTCCCAAGACCCAACTCACCGCTGTCCATCCACCAGGACAGAGCCATTGGCCAGCTCAATCACCAGCCCCTGGGCCCTGAGGACCACATGAGTGACCACGGGCCTGGAGCCCTCAAGACCACGGCGCAGTTGGATGTTGAAGTCCTCGTAGGTGGCCCCGCAGTGTGAAGAGAAGACATAGTTACAGAGGCCGGGGAAGTGGAACATGTCACCGTCGAAGGTCTTGTAGTGGAAGTCACCCCACGTGCTGCACACCCTCCCATTGTGCGCCAGGTTTGCGGCTACAGGGAAACAGACGGAGTCACCACTGATAGCCAGCACTCCTTACCCAGCTACCTAAGGGACAATCTCCTGGGGCCACAGCAGTATCTTTGGAGCAGAGAAACCAACTACCAATAGCTCCATGGGCCAGTTCTCTGCTATTCCACTCCCTCAGTTGCTTGGATAAAACCTGAAGACCCAGACCCATCCCTCATCCCTTTCATTTGCTGTAGTCCAGACACTCCAAGGTAGTCAATGGATGTTCACAGGTCAAGTTCCAGACGGTTTTCATAGCTGTGCAGAGGCCTCACGCTATGTCAGCTTCAATCAGACTGGCAAGCCCCCCCCCCCCCCCCCCCCCCTTCTTGGCCTGACAGGCGTAGGTATTGCCCACTTACGGCTCATGGTCGGGAAGACGGTCATGGGGGGGATGAAGGTGACGTGCTGGGTGGACGAGGATGTGGGTGCTGCAGTAGGAAGGGCCAGGTTACACTGAGACTGAGGCTGGGGCTGGGGATCTCCTCCCTGACCACCCACTCTCTTCAATGCCCACCTCAAGGAAATCGGAAAGCCTAGGACTAACAGGTTGGTTCCAGGCTATCCAGTTTCTCCATGGTCACCCCCGACCCTCCCCCTGAAACATCCCCCTGTCTACCCAGGAGCTCTTTCTCTTCTGGGTGCTCCTGTCTGTGTGTGCCCAGCGCTGCCTTCGGGCAGAACGGACTAGTCAGGAGTCTCATTGTGTTAACTGGTGTGGGGAGACCATCTGCCTGGCCCACCTGAATCCCACCCCACTCAACGCTGCCCCTGCCGCCAGAATATGACTCCCCAACCCAGAGCCTGAGCCACGTACCACTGTACACTCTCTGACCATCTCCGGTGAGTTCGGGGGGTTCTGAGCTCAGTTCTACCTGACTCTGGCTCTCTGCAGGAAAGGAGAAGACAAGTCAAGAAGAAGCCATCAGACCGTGGCCACTGCTCTGGCTTAGTGTGAGGCTCGTGGACTGGCTCTGCTCCCAGGTCAAGACCTTCCTGTAATCTCCAAAACCCTGCACAGACTTGGGCCTGGCGATTCCAACCCCATCAGTTGTAGTAGCTTTCAGTCACTAACCATCACCAAAGAGCCAGGTGTCCTCAGGAATTCTGACCCTTCCAGCCCAGGCAGTCCTTCCCCTGCAGTGGCCCTCACCACCTGCACCTATGGAGTGACACCTGGTCTTGCCAGGAGTGGGGCATATGTGCCCAGGGTCTTGAAGAAGTCAATTAGGAAACTGCATTGGTACTGGAACTGTGACCATCTGTCGGGAGGTGACGGTCAGCCCCCTCACTTGAGGCCCTTGGAAGACAAAAACTGGCTTTGTGAGGGAGAAGCCAGTCAGAGGTTTCCAAGAGGGACACAGAAGAAAGAAACCTAGGATCAGAGGCAGCCCCAGCCTGGAGCTATGGGTCAGGGCAGGTGGCAGGAGGGGTTCAGTTCTTGGTGCAGGATGTCCACTCTCAGCGGCCTGGATGGTCCATTGCCTCTGGGCAAGGCCACCTCCACACCCTCACTGCTCGAGGCCCAAGAGACAGCTTCAACCTCCACAACTCAAGCCTCCAAAGCCCGATGGCTCCTTAAGGCCAGCACTTTGCAGGAGACCATGGCCCCCAGGCCTTGACCCAGATGGCCACTCGCTCCAGTGCCATGGGCAGCGCGGCTTCCTGTTTGATTTTCCCAGCGTGTCCAGCTGACATTTGGAAACCGCAGGGACCGTCCTGTGCATTAATCCTTCCTCAAGGGCCCCGCTTGACTGCATTCCCCAGAGGGCATGGCCTCTCCCTCTGTCCATTACTGATCCCAGATCCGCAGCCTCTCCCAAATGTTCCTGGCCCAGCCTTTCCGCTGCCATCTGCTGGAGGGCTCCACGGGTGAGGGTACCACCCCCACCCCAAGCACTCCTGCTCTATGCTAGTCTCCCTCAGGCTGAGATCTCTCCGTCTCCACTTAGCCAGAGAGTTGTCAGCCACCCCCGCCCCCCACACACACACACAACATCTTGATCTGGGTTACTGCTTCCCATCCGGACAAAAACCAGATCCCCTTTACGTGAGGGCCCAGCCTCTCGCCCTTACCCCAGGCACAGCTGTCACAGAAACACGCTCCCCCAACCCAGGGCTTAAAGTTGCCCTTCCCAAGTAAAGCAAGTGGGAAGGAGGGCTGACTTCGCCAGGTAGGCGCAGCACTCTGACAGACAGGACCCGGCTTAGGGAGAGCCACATTGTGGAGGGAGGGAGAAGGCCCAGGAGAGCAGTTCCCAGTCAGCAGATAGCCTTGGAAGCAAGAGAGACAACCATGGCCTCTCTTGCTCTCCAAGAATGGGCTTTGGGGACCCCACCCTCCTTCACTGTCTGTCTTCTTTTCACAGATTCAGGAAGCCTGGAGCTGAGGTTCCCTAGTCTAGGGAGTACAGCTTGGAGGGGTCATGACACCTGGGGATTCAAGCTAGCTCTGCTTGCTTACAGCTGAGCCCCGTGGGAGCCGTCTTTCCAATACTGCTGACAGCCTTAGTATTGCGGCTTTCTCAAGAGCAAACCAGCAGGGAAAGCAGCTTTGCTGACAAGGGTCACACAGCCCACCTGACTCAGTTCTGGGTTCAGACCACAGCTCTGGGTATCGGATCCATCTGATCTGGCTCCAGCCCTAAGACCCAGAGGCAGAATCTACTTCACCAAGGAGGCCCCAGCCTTGGTTCTTGTGACCCCCAGCAGTTGGTGGGAGAGCAGGGCCTGTCCTTGCTAGGAGTCTCTGTCCTTTCTAATTCTGATGCAGACCTCTCTGACTCAGAAAGACCTCATTTCTGTTTCATTTCCAAAGCCAAGACTGTCATGGGGTTTTCACCCACAGGGTTGATACCTTGAGGCTTAAAGCACCCAACTTCATTGAGACGCCTCCATCCAAGCCAGGCCCTTAGGCTGCTGACGGGGCTAGAGGGTGGGACATAGGATCCAGAGCCCAGAGAACTGCAAGACCTGGGACCATGGAGTTGGGGACAGTGGGAGATGCCTGTCGTCTCAGGAGGGAAAATCCCCAGGTGGAAGTCATCTCTCTGGGAAGATGGTTTTTAGAGAGCAAGGGGCTTCGACCTTACCTGTTGGCCATATCGTGAATAAGGCCACAGAGGCCCAGACCAGAGCCCAGTTCCAGCTCCTGCTGCCCATCCTAGGGACAGCACAGAGGGCAGGCAGGAGGGACTGAGACAAGGCACCGCTCTCTGGGGGCCTGGACTTATGTAGCAGAAGACCTTGGCCCAGTGCCCAGTTCCTAGGCCAGGTAAGGCACTGTCTACTCCCTGCACAGCCACGTGTGTTTGCTCTTGGGGAGGGGCTATGGCAGGAAGAGGCCATGGAGGAGGAAGGATTTGCAGCCTTGTGCCACCAGACAGAGGGCCCCCACCCCCTGCGGCTTCTGAGAATTGGGAGGGAGTAGATGGGGCAGGGAAGGGCCAGCGCTTGGCCAGGGGGTGGAGCTGGCTACTCTGGATTTGAAGCCCTGGGCCTATGGAGTGGGTATTTGGTCAGGCAGTCCTATGCCAGCTCCTCTGGGAGCCTGGACACCACAAGGATCAGGGTCAAAAGGTCAGCAACCTTGCCTTGTGTTTGCTCAGGAAACTGACCCCAGGTGATCGGCACTGAGTCCCTAAAGAATGGGCAAGACTTGAGGGTGGGCCTACTCCTCAAGGGTCATTCCTCAGCCTGGAAAATGAGATTCTGGTTACATTCCAGATGGCCATGGATCTGGTAGAGTCTCTGCAGCTTCTGGGGGTCCCAGGAGAAGGGAACCCCTCACCAACTCTGAGAAAGGAGCATCTCTGGGCTCCTGTCTGCTGCTGGGCTCAAGCACGTAGTGAAAATGAGGTTCTGTACTGATTTTGGCCAATGTAGGCCACAGACTTCCCCTGGTGAACTCGACCTCTTTCCAGGGCCGGCTTATTAACCCTAGGTCTTAACAAAAGGCCTTGACCTACCTGGGGCCACAGCCGATGGAACTGGTGAACCTCGGGGGCACAGTGGGGTGAGGGAACGACTGGGACTTTCCTGACTCGACTGCTCACCCTGAAGGGGAGTCCCAGAGGCTCAGCTCTCTCAGTTGTGTTGGTTGGGCTTCCTGAGGGTTTTGGGGAGCCCGTTCCTTGACCATGAACAAACCCACCAATGCCATTTCTAGGCCGTGCAAAGAGCAGGATGTTCATATCGTAGCATCGCTTTCCCGTTAGGTGCGCAGACTGTGTTTTCATCCCTTCTCTTACAGCCGCGCAGCCACCAGCAATGCGCACCAGACCACAGCAGCCTGAGAAAGTTCCTGGGGGTGGGCCAGGCTGGGGGAGTGTCCGGTGTTCGAGTGACTGCAGTATCCTGGAAGTCCCTCCCTGACTGTCCCCGCACTTATCTTTCTGAGGATAAATTCCTAGAGATGGAATGCTGGGAAAGGGAACTGTCCGCAGGAAAAGCCTTTGAACTGTCTCACCACCTAGAGGTCAGCTGCCATCAAGCAACAGAACACAGGTAGGGCTGGCGAGGATGCAGTGAGGCGGGCATCCCGCTCAGTCAGTGGGCAGCCAAGTGGGGCTTAGGTTGAAAACAGAAATGCTATATAGTCTTGTAGTTCTACTGTGAGGCACATCCCCAGAAAAAGAGAAAACAATGACTAATACTGTCACCCCTCATCTAGTGACCCCATCCATGACTGCTAAAACAGGGGTGCCCCAATGGCTTGGACAATGGCTGAGCAAGCGATGGCGAATCCCTGCAGTGGAATAGTATACAGACTTAAACAGAGAGGGGCATTCTGATACCCACCACAACCTGGGTGGACCTTGAGGATTCCGGGCCCTAAAGAGAGAATCCTGCAGGGTCCCACTTCTGGAAGGACCCCAGAGTTGTCAAAATTGCAGAGACAGAAAGTAAGTTGGGATGCCAGAGGCTGAAGAGTGAGTGTGTCTTTAATGGGGCCAGGGTGTCCGCTGGGAAGATAGAACGTTCTAGAGGTGGATGTGGGCGGCTGTGCATGCTTCTAAGTTGCGTCCTTTACCATAATCAGCATGGTAATTAAACAATGTGGACTTCATCAATAATGATGTCAAGTGTGCTCACATCTGCTCCTGACGTGGCGGATGCCCCCAGGTTCCTGGGTGTGCTCAGGCTGGCCCCTGTTGTTCATCTTTGTCTGCAATTTCTTTAATGCCCAGTGCATGTGTATAGCACGTGGGGCCCATGGCTCCTGCTTAGAGACCTGGTGCTGGGTCTGGTATTGCATATTGGACCTTTGCTCTGTATGCTGCCCATCAGGATCTTCAGATCTGCAATGTCCTCTTCCATGATGAGTTCCTCTTTCCACTGCCGAAGGACTCCCAGGGGTGGTCTGGAGAGTGGAACGTCCCCTTCCTAGGTGGTCTGTGTCACCAGTTGTGGCTTGCCTAGGCCTCTGCTGCAACCTGTTCTGGGCCTTCCTACCTGCTCACAGGCTGGGCAACAGCTAGGGCTCAATTTCACTTAATTCACTGTTGAGCTGGTCTCAAGGGGAGAATCCCATAGACTCCCACCTCTGGAGTGCCCCTGGCTACCTTACTGGTTTCTCTCCCATGCCCAGGACCTGGCACCCTGTGTCCACTGATCTGGGCCCAGTGGGCCTCATCCACCCCCGGCTCAGGTGACATTGCCAACTCCTGTCTATCCTCACTTGGAAAAAAAGAAAACAAAGCACTGTAGCCTTTGTGCCCACAGCGGCACACAGTAGGCACCCAATAGATACACACATTGCACCGGGGGAGCTGCAGCTCCCACCTGTCCTTCCCTTGTTCTGGCACTGGGCACACCTCTGGGGACGGAGGGTGAGTGACAGCTTGTTGGGGTCGTGGCTGTTGAGACATCCCGGATGTGGTGGCCACCCGGCCTGTTTGCACAGCCTTTCGAGTTTACCTCTTCACAGTTGAAGGAGTTGGAAACTGTGGACAGCGAGGAGAGGGATGGGAGGGATACGGTTGTTCCTGCTTGGCAGGGGTGAGAGGGGAGCAAGCGGATGGCCAGCCGCCTCCTGGAGTGCAGAGTGTGTGTGTGTGGGTGCCTCGGCTATGCCAGGAACCAGCTCTGTGGTTTTGACCACAGAGCCTGGGGCGGGACCCTGTCCTTCATCTTGGTCTCTGAGTCCAGGGCCAGCCAGGACAAAGGGAACTGCACTGGGTCACACAGAACTCGGGGATGAACATGGTCCCTATGGACAAAGGTTCCCCAGGGCCACAGAGAGCCTGTGCTGACCCATCCTAGAAACAGTGCTTTTTGGTTTGGGCACTGTTGGGCCCATGCACCCAGTACATTCAGAGGTTTCTAGCAAGACCAGTCTTTAAGACGAAACAGATGGAGAATACAAGGCTTTCATGGCCTCCAAACTCTAGCCTGTCATCACAGACATGACACTGCATGATGACCCTGGAGAAGCTATGGAGGTTACACCAGTCACCCTGACTCTGACATCCTGCTCCTCTGAGTCATCATCACATGAGGAAGGCTCAGTATGCACTTCCAACCCTGGATCCAGGCTTCACGAGCAGGCCTGGCTTCCCCCGACCCACGTTTCACAAGCATGCCTGGCTCCCCCTGCCTCCTCCAAGGACCTTGATCTCCCTAGCCTCCACCATGGACCTCACACAGTTGTTTTCTGGTCTCTTTCCCTCTGTACCCTTCTAACTGATAATCTAGCTGTGAGCTGGTGCTGATCCTGACAGGGATATGACAAGATCCATGGGGTCCCTTTAAGTCCTGTACCAAGGCTGGGCTATTTGAGACAGCAACACGGTTATCCAGGAGCCAAGAGGAGGTCACCCTGCTGTAGCAGGGCAGGTGGGTGATGGGCAGCCTCCTGGAGACTGTAGGATGGTGACATCAGAGATCAAGCAGCAGAGCAAAGGCCCCAGCAGTGACTGGCAGGTGCAGGGAGCCTATGCGCCTAGGACTGGCGCATAGAGTGAGGGAGCAAGACAAATGAGCAGGTCAGGAAAGGGGGGACTTTCAGGGTTTTCTCTAGTTGGAGAAGTTAACGATATTAACAGGAATGTTTAAGTGGAACTATATGTCATATGAGTTAGGTAAAACGGATCTAACATAAAATCACACCTAAGCATACAACCAGGAGCATGAAGTGTATTTACAGCGCCGTGAAGACATCCAAACCATCTACCTCCAGAACTTCCCATCTTCTCAAACTAAAGCACATCTCGCTTCCTCCGGCCATGGCAACCCATCTGTGGCAGTCTGAATGTCATTGGCCCCCAAAATTTCATAGCGAGTGACACTGTTAGGAGGTGTGGCTTTGCTGGAGGAAGTGCGTCACCGTGAGAGTGGGCTTTGAGGTTTGCTATGCTCAGGATACCACCAAGTGTGTTAGTTGACTTCCTGTTGCTTGCAAGATGTAGCAATCTCAGCCTCGGCACCGTGACTGCCTGCATGCTGCCATGCTCCCTGTCATGATGGTAATGGGCTGAACCTCTGACTGTAAGAGAGCCACCCCAATTAAATGCTTTCTTTATAAAGACACCATCTCTTCACAGCAATAGAAATCCTAACTAAGACAGAAGTTGGTAGCGGGACTGGGGTGTTGCTGGGATCGGCCTGACTATGCTTTTGTTTGGAGGAATATGGACTTGGGGACTGTGGATTAGGAAATGCTTTAAGTGCAGCTTAATGGATCATGCTAATAGGAACATGGAAGACTGTGGTGCTGAGTGTGATTTGATCAATTGTGCTGTGCTCACTCGAGAGGTTTCCTAGGAGAAGAATTTTAGTATGCTGCCTAGAGCTCATTCTTGTGATGTTTTGGTGAGAAAAGAGGCCGCCCTTTGCCTTTGTTTGAAGAGTCTGCCTGAGGCGAAAATGAGAATTTTTAGATGAATTCCACTGGCAAAGAAAAACACAAAATAATGTAGTCTAGATACTGTTGTGTGATTATTAGTGATAACTCTCATGAAGATTTATAATGATAAGGGGCAAGCTGAGCAGGGTAAATTACGAAATAAAAATTTTCAGGAAAAAAAAAGAGCATCAGAAAGTGGAATGGAGCTCAAGTTTCTGTTCAAGGAGATAAATGGATTAAGAAATGGAATATAGGGAGCGATGACCTCAGGGAACCCACTAAGTTTCCACATTATGGAAAGGAACTAAAGAATAGCTCAGAGCTAGGTGTGATAAGGACACTTTTAAACCAAGCA